TTTCAAGCAAAGTTCTGCTGATAAGAACTTCTCAAGACTTTGTTGACAGCACTTTGCTGATAGGCAACTTCGCATGGCATTCACAAGCCTCATCTTTTTTCATTCTGGGTCACACTCTCTTTAAAATGAGTTTAGCATTATGTAAATATTAAATATACTTACGAAAGAAGTTCTTTTCTGTTGGTGCAGCTCCAAATAGAGATAGTGGTTGGATGCATAAGATACTTGTATGCTATGGTTATGGTGCCTGTCAATAGATTTCTCTCCGTCTGCCTCTTACCTTTATATGATGAGTGTGTATGCAACAGACAGACAGCTTTCTATGTAGACAGTAGTTTGAGTGTCTTGTATCTAAGACACATTGAGCCTTCTAAACTTGAATGGAACCAAGAGGCATATTTTTAAGGATGCAGCAAACTTTAAAAATGTCAGACATATAGTGAGTTTTTAAGTCTTTCTGTGCCTAACTTCTGTTTGATTTCTTTAGTATTTCTGCTTTCAGAGGGCATTAGGTTTATAGGGGCTTTTAAAGAACCTTACTGTTTGTAGCACAAAGTCCCTGAATATATTTAGAAATCTAACCCTTACTTTTCTTGTAACAGACCTTGTAGCTACGTGCTACTTCTGACGGTGTCCTGAGGTTCAAGAGTATTTGAGAAACTTGGCATGGTTTATAGCCTTGTCTGTAAAATGGAGATAGAAATAAAGTTACAAACTGTCTTGGAGTGCCAGAAAATGCATGAGATAAAAGCAGAGAAGGTTCTTGTGGAACTGCCTAGAGAAACTGGTATGGAGAGAAATGTGGTTTATCTCTGAACCTGCCAATGTTGAGGTTACCTATAGTAACACTGCTCTGTGAACACAGAGCTTCGTACTAGAAGTCACTTTGCCTTTAAGCTCGAGGTGCACACAGAGCCTTCAAGTTCTGTAGTGCACACAGGGCTACATAGCTACAAATATTCTCAGTTTAAATTGAAACCTCACAGTTGCTTTGTGTGCATATGTATCTATGTTAATATTTCATGGGAAGTGGGATTGCATGTTCCTTTAATTAGTGTCAAGAGCCTGAAATTAGCTTGAAATAGAAAGCCACTGTAAATGACTACTTTTCTCATGCATTATGTACTTGGTACATGGTAATAAAACTCAGTGGCTTCTGAATTGCACGGTTGGATAGAAGGTGAGATGTCAAAAAAAGAAACTTTTTGTGACAGCTCCTGTCTTTTTTCAGACTATTTCTAGCATTTCCGTAATTATCTGTTTTGACAACCTACTTGTCAAGGGAGGAAAAATATACTTCTGTGAGTTGTAATAAGCGTAAGGTTTCAATGATTGTTTCTTCCTCCCCCGCCCTGAATAATTACATTAAAATTACATTCTGTTTGGTTGCCACAATGCGTACCCACTTTTCCCATTTATTTGATCATAAGTATTATTTATTTGAGAGATGGTATGATCAAAACTAGCTTCAGCCGTGGAGATTATTTGACACATTATGTTCCTTTAACTGGAATAGGATGCAGTTTAGAAAAATTCTTTGACACTGTTGGGATTGCATGTTACAGTTTTGCTTCTATCTTCTTTCAGATGCTTCAGTTGAGAAGTTTTAAAATGAGAACTCTGACATGGAGCTTGTACATTCTTGCATAGAGAATAGAGTTTAGCAAATGAGCATTTTGCTCTTGAAGACACATGCAGGTTTTGGAAATGCTACTAAAAAAGCAAATGCATAAACAGCTCTCTGAGCGAAGCATTTTCCACCATTGTTGTTCAGGACCACAACCAGGATTGCAAATGTGGGATGTATTAAAATGTACAGTATAGTAAATTGTATGTTATTCCAAAGAGGAATATTACTCTGTGAAAGGGAAGTAAAATTTGACAATATAACAAGCTGAGCTGCAAAGGTCCAAATAGAAGGGGGTGGTCAGAAAAGTCACTAGGAAAAAATAAAAAGTAAAATTGATAGCTTGAGGAAACCATCATCTTTTGGAATTTTCCTCTCTTATTCATGTTAACTTTCTCCTTGAGTTTGAAACATAGGTGCTTGTCAGCCTGCACAGAGAGTATTGAGGCACCAGTTTGTCCCATTGCTTCCAGTTTGCCTGTGCTGCAGATCCTAAGGCTGTAGGAGAGAGAGCTGCTGCCGCTCTGCTCCTCCTCTCTGTGTGGGAGGGAGTGTGTGGAGGCTTGGCTCTGTCTCCTAATTCACTGTCAGCACAGCTGAATGGGGGTGGAGGGAGAAGTAACATGTACCAGGAAAAGGGCTGGTACAGATTACGTCATATGTAGAGTTAGGAGAAAGCAAGGACCAAACTGGGACTAAGTCACAGCTACAGTTCCTTGTTTGCTCTCTGAAAATCAAGGTCATACATTGCCCTTTATTCAGGGCAGAGCACAGTGGTGCCAGGCCAGTTTGTGATTTTTGCTGCTTCTACACAGTGTCATCTGTGATCTTGAACATGTATGTAGCTCTGTACAAAAATCTTACAAAAAAAATTACAAAAATTATTCAGACACAAACCCCTACTGACTCCACACGTTGCCAACATGCTGTGCATGCCCCTATCTTGTGCCTTTTCTCTTCCTTTGTTTGCCTCACATTTCATGTTCTTGCCAAATACATACATGATGCACTGTGATGCCCTAGAGACTATGTCCACTCATGACAGAGATTCTGTAGCTGAGAAGTAGCGAAAAAGTAATTTAGTAATAATTAATGTTGCTTATCTGTAGATCTGATTTAAACAGAAATTGTCATGAGTTAGAATTAATATTTAACAGATTTAGCTTGATAATAAATGTAGTAATAACATTGCATTTAAAATTAAGTATTGGGCTATTGTCAAAACACATATTCATACATCTATTTGTAATCAATATATTTATATAGCACATGTTGATTGTGAAATGCTTTAAACAGTAACTACATTTTTTGTGCTGTTGTTGTTTGATTCCAAAGAATTAGGACGCCTCTCATTTACAGGGCTAGGAACCCAAAATGCATAAAAAGCCTTCATCTAGAGTGAACTGTAACTTATGATCCTAAAAAGTAATCTTTCCCTTACAACAGAATGAGAGTCGGAGTTTGCCATTTCAAAAACCTGTGGTCTGTTTCTCTGTCTGCTTGTTTAAGGGGCTGTGCTGAGTTGCAAGCAAAAGTAACTGTTCTGAAAGAGCAGCTGTGCTAGTTTAGTAATTTGTTTGGACAATTCATCTGATTTATGTTCAAAGGTCAAAAAAAGCTGTTCTACAGAACCTAGGCAATGAGAGATGCCACAAATTGTGGTGTATCCAACAAAGATCATGAAGATCAGTTTACTTTTGAATTACGCAGAGTGCATTCTTCTAAAAAATCACACTGAGTGCACAGAACAGTCCATATTTTAAAATTGAAGCTGATCAGAGATTTGCTCAAAAAGTAAACCCGAATAAGGCAAATCTTACATGGATTTGGCTAACATTGATTGTCAGTTGACCAAAGATTTTTAGCACGTATGCAGAGATCAACTTCAGGGCAGGTAAGTCTGCACTGGGGAAGGGATCTGCAGCAAAAAGAACAGACAAAAAGCTCCTATTTGGTGGTTTTTTTTGAGCCAGGAAAAGCCCTTATTTGTGCTGAGGACTGTCCCTCTGGTGGGCGGGCTGCTGAGAGGGCCTGAGCTGAGCGAGTGCCACCTGCCATTGAACAGGTCGCAGGTGTAAGAAGCTTCTGGGATCAGGTGTAAGAAGCTTCTGGGATCGCTGCCCACTGAGCGCAGAGCCGTCAGCCACTGCCTGTGTGTGTGTGCCCTGGTGGGAGCTGCACCTCATAGAGCAGGGTGCTAATCCTCTGCCAGTGTAAAAGGTAAGCGCGATCCCTCTGAGTGGTCAGAGGCCAAGCGGGCTCATCCCAGCTGACCCCCAGGTCGCAAGGTGTCAGTTGCTTGTGGAGATCCAGAGATGGTTACTACCCGGAGAAAGGCTGTTGGTAGAAAAACTGTGGGCACCCAGACAGAGGCCTCACGCAAACATGCAGGTTTTCAGGCCAGTGGCTGCAGAGTGCCAGAGCCTTGTGCTTGCAATGGAGGGTAGCAGAGGTGACACCTGTGTAAGATATGAACAGGTGAACGATCTGCTCAGCCTGGTGGCTAAGCTGAAGGAAGAAGTAGAAAGGCTGAGGAGTATCAAGGAGTCTGAGAGACAGAGATTGGTGGAGCCACATCCTGCATTGCAGGCAGCAAACTCCACAAGAAGCAGAAAATCCCCTCCCCTCTGGCCATCAGGCAGGAGGAGGGGACCTAAAGGATGGGGAGGAGTGGAAGCCGGTGCCTGCCAGGAGAGGAAGGAAAATCCCTGCCCGGCCTCCCTCATCTGCCCAGTTGCCCTTGTGGAACCAGTATGGGGCTCTAGAACATGAGAGCCAGGCAAAGGAAGAGACAGGTGGAGGTTCATCCATGGGGCTGTCTAGGGTGAGTCAGTCAGCCACATGCATTTGGACTTCTCCGTCCAAGAAGAAAAGGAGGGTAACTGTTGTGGGAGACTCCCTTCGGAGGGGAACAGAGAGTCCTATCTGCTGCCTGGATCCAGCATAGAGGGAAGCCTGCTGCCTGCCTCAGGCCCAGGTAAAGGATGTTACTAAGAAGCTCCCAGGTCTAGTAAAGCCCTCTGATTATTACCAACTTCTGGTTATGCAGATTGGTAATGATGAAATAGTGGAGAGACAACCAGAAGCAATCAAAAGGGGCTTCAGGGCACTGAGGAGGATGCTAGAAGGATCAGGTGCACAGGTTGTGTTTGCCTCCATTCCTTCAGTTGCAAGGAGGAATACTGGAAGGTTCCAGAAATTGCAACAGATTAATACTTGGCCAAAAGGGTGGTGCCACCGATCTTGCTTTGGGTTTTTTAATCATGGGGAGATCTGGTGTACTAAAACCAGAGGGGGTTCACATGACTCAAAGGGGAAAAAGGATCCTACGTCATGAGCTGGCAAGACTCATAGAGCATTCTTTGAACTAGATATGGAGGAAGAAGGGGTTGTAGCCAAATCAAATGTAGATAACCCTGGGATAGGCATAGCAACATCAGAAGCAGAACCACTCAGAAGGCGAGGTGCATCCTGGGATGCATCAAGAGGAGTGTGGACAGCAGATCGAGAGAGGATTCTCCCTATGCAGTCAGCTCTTGTGAGACCCCACTTCGAATACTGTGCCCAGTTCTGGGGTCCCCACTGTAAGAGGGACATGGATCTGTTGGAGCGTGTTCAGAGGAGGGCCACAAGGATGATCCAGGGGCTGGAGCACCTCTGCTACGAGGACAGACTGCGGCAGCTGGGGTTGTTCAGTCTGGAAAAGAGAAGACTTTGAAGGGACCTAATAGCTGCCTTCCAATACCTGAAGGGAACCTACAGGAAGGCTGGGGAGGGACTTTTTACAAGAGTTTCCACTGATAGGACAAGGGGAAATGGGTTTACGTTGAAGGAGAATAGATTTAGATTAGAACTTGGGACGAAATTCTTCAGTATGAGGGTGGCAAGACTTTGGAATAAATTGCCCAGAGATGTTGCAGCTGCCCCCTCCCTGGAGGTGTTCAAGGCCAGGTTGGATGGAGCCTTGAGTATCGTGATCTACTTGAGAGGCGTCCCTGCCCATGACAGGGAGGTTGGATTAAATGATCTCTAAGGTCTCTTCCAATTTAGGCCATTCTGTAATGATTCTTTACAGAATTAGCAATTAATTGACTCACTGTTTAATTAAATTAAGTATTTTACCAAAGCCAGATATGCCTTTCTCATGCAAACTGCTCCTCTGTTTTTGCCATGTCCTGACACAGCCCTTTGTTTACCACATTATTACTTATTCCCAGCCTGTCACTGCTGAACTAGTTCTTGCTGAGTTAACAAGACCTGCCTTGGATCAGAACATTCTGTGCTTCCCAGTGATGAGATCCTCTGTCTGCCTTCTACTCTTGACACATGATGTAATATATAATTGTTTTGCCTTGCCTATTTAACTTGTTGAACAGGAAGATGGAGTTTACATAACCAGTTTGGCAATATTATAAAAACAGGTGAATTGGCTTAACTTCTAGCTCTTTGCTGGACATTCAGTTCATTTGTCAGTGAAGAAAAAAATTGACATATTAAATTGTCTTATAGCAAACGAATTTTTAATACTATTCCAAACGAGATTTTTCTCTTTTCCATTTGTCATTTTTTTAAATTTTTGCTAACTTGTACATATGAATTTTAACAGGCAGAGTTCAAAGTTCAAGTTCATTCATGATTAAACATAACACATTTGAACTAGACAACAGAATGCAAGTTTTCTATCAATATGTAGTGTCTGTGAAGTTCAAACAAAGAACATATCTCTCTGGATATTTCTCAGTTCTGGCATCAAATAATGATAGGTGGCTACCTGTATTCAAATAAAGAGAAATGGTAAGTATTTCATCATAGGTAATTAAGGTAACTTAGGAACTTAGAATAGTTGCTATATAGCATGAAGAAAGAAGCCATTTATTTCTAACTTAATCAAAAATCAGACCCATCTGAAATTAAACACGACACCTTGCTTAAAATTAATAACACATAAACCCCTTGTGTTTATAGGATTGAGTATAGTGTCTTTAGAAAAGTGTCTGGAAAGAACAAAACCAAAACAATTACCAGATTTTCAAAAGAACAATCTGCCTTGGACATTGTTACATTGATACTGTGTGTCTGGCCACCTGCATCCTTAAGGTTACTTGATCACAAGTTTGGGCTGGCCTCTGCCTTCAGGAGATTGAAAATGCTCCATCAGAGGCCACTGGTGTTAATACTGGTGGCTGGCCTGAGGACCAAGGGGGAAACAGTAAGGAAGTAAGAGGAAGGGGAGGAGGAATTTCCTGGGTTGTGAGGTTCAGGAGATGCTGCAGGCTGGAAAGAGTTAGGTACAGACATTTGCCTGTGGATAAGACTAGCAAGAAGTGTTCAGTAAAAGCTCATCACTGCTGAGCAAGATGCCAGCTGAAGGAATAAGCAAGTGTGGAGAAACCTCTTCTGTGTTTATGACATTTGCCTACGAGGAGGAACTAATTTTGTTTATTCTGTAAGGCCACTGATCTACTCAGAAAAGGGGAAACAGCAACGATGTGAGATCCTGTAAGACTGAAAGAATGCTATATTCCAAACCTTCAGCCTCCAAAGCAGGTCTTCCAATAAAGCCTGGTAGGCACTAAATACTCTATGACCAGAGAGAAACTTCTGCATTTTTCAGCTTCTGTGGAGTAGAGGTGAATAGAGTTTCCAAGCAGCAGAGGATGCCTGGGGATACATCTCAGCTGCCAGAGTTGAGTGAGAGGTTTAAATAAAAGTATAGTTTGCAAGAAAAGTGATAATTTTGTATCAGTGTCATGAAATAGAGCCTCATCCTTTTTGCAGCAATGCACTTGGAAGGCAGAAACATGTCTTGGATTGTGTTGCCCCCAAGAGCAGGCCATCTTTCATTCTTTGTTCACTCAGCTGTTACCATTGAGATGTCAGAATATGCAGAAGTTGTCACTTTCTTGATGAAAAGTAGCTGTCTCAACCTCCACGTAGGACGGCTTTGATATTTTCTTAATAATAGTGTTACGTTCTTCAAGAAAACCTTAAAAATCACTTTCTTAGACCCTGTCTTTCTAAGGAGGGAAGGCATGTAACTCCGATCATTAGAAAGATTAAGAACCTCATAAAGCATACAATAATAAATACCAAAGCTAGACAAGTAGTTACCTGCAGTGAGTGAAATTTCCTTTACATTCCACCTAAAATTAAACTGTAGAACCATGTGGCTGGACCTAGTTCTCACCAGGTCTTGGATCTCGTTCGAAATGCTGAGACCTGATGCATCAGCATGTAAGGATTGCAAGAATTTCAGCTAGTATAAAACATGGCTAGATGTCTCCAGGCATTTTTCATTTTTTCAGTTTTGCACCATAATCCTTAGATTATTCGTTAATAAAAATGGTGAAGGGCATTTCTTGATACTTTTCAGATGCCATATGCCTCCTGAGAACTGCAGGTTCAAAGGACTTTTATCCTCTATTTGCACAAAGTGAGTGTTGAAATAATAAGCTAACCCTTAGAAAACTTCAGTTACCTGGTAGATACTACTTTGGGTGAATGACTTTGTATTTTCCCTAAAGGTCTGAGCAGAGCATATTATATATTCATGTTCCTATTTTTCAGCAGAAAACTTAAATGGCATCTTTAGGGGGACAGTTGATAGTGAAGCTAGCCATTTTATAAAATATTTCAATTCATCTTGGAGGGGAAGAAAATGTTCTGAATGTAATTTAAAAATGTAATTTAAAAAAAAAGAACCAAAGAAGAAACCACCAAAACTTTAGCTCTGAGTCACTGTTTACAGTGTATCAAACAGTGAAGGATTGAGTAGCAAGGAGGCTTCAGAGTGAAAATGTAAAATGTAGCTGAGTGCTGGGGAGTTTCAGAATGCTGTGGTGCCGTGTGGGTTTACAGACTGCTGGTCGTGGGTAGAAGACCCCAGCAGAAGAAGTCTTCTCTATGACTGTTCAGGTGGTGATAGGAAGCCCTGTAGAACCAGGGGGAGCAACCTTGCTAAGACTCACTGTACCTAATTGCAGTAAGCTGTGCAGATAAACTGAAGCCAAATTTGGAAAATTTGTTATAAAGATCCTGCACTTTTATAGTGTGTTTTAAGGATAATTCTTTCTGTAAATATGCATGCAGTATTTTCATTAGAATTTGCATTTTGAACCAAGTTGATTATGCTATTCAGATTTGGAACTACTCAGATCTTTTATTTAAAGGCCTGTAATGGCAGGGAAAAATCTGGCTCATAACTGCTTCAGACTGCAGTGGCCATGGTAAGTGAACAAATAGTATTTAGAAATACAGCCACAATGTTTGGGAAAAAAAAAAAAAAAGCTTATGTTCTAGTGAGAATTGAGAATTAAGTATTTGCTCGTGGTAATATTAGAAGGGAGTCGGTGCCTATGAGAGAATTCCACAGAACAAACTTGTCAGTATCAAAGGACAAGATGTTTATGCTAAGAAAACTCATCTGTTTGACCCAATTTTTCTGATGTGCCAATTGACAGAAGATTCTTATTTTCTTTAGTTTGAGCACAGGAACCCTGATTTCAGTGTACATATTGGTGCCATGAATTTAATGCATAAAATAGATACATGCAGATAATTTGAACTTGAAAATTTTTAGTCCTGGTTTGGATTGTATAGAAGATTCTGAACAAGACACCCGAGTTTTCTCTGTTTCCTAATGAGGATAATTTCTTATATTTCTTATATTTCAAGATCAACATGGTTATTTTACTAAATTGCAGCTATACTTTGGGTAATGAAAGCTGATTTAAAAGACCCTTACTTTAGTGTGAAAACCAGATGACAGATACACTTCAACATTTAAAATGGACTGGGAGCATTTGGAATTTAGTTACAGGCTGTTATTACCTGACTAAGAGAACTTTGTTAATCCCTGGAAAAGATTTAAGTTAGTAAGCAGCTGTTCACAGGAGGTGAATTACATCCATATTTTAATAAATCTTTTTATGCTATTTTGTCAGAGACTATGATGCAGTCTTCAGATCTAAAGACATATGACCTTGTTTCTTAGTAGTGGGGGTGATACAAGCACCATAGGAGTAATCTCCTTGAAATTAGTAAGTTCATGGTGGATTTATACAGGCATATGGTAAACAAGAACGAAACTGAGGGATGTTATAATGAGGTTTTGCTGTACTGACAGTGGAAGATTTGACCTTGTTACGCTTGGCAATATGTTTGTTTGACTATGGGAGAATTTTCTTTGCTCTCCCCTTCAGTTTGCAAAGTCATTTGTGTGCTGCTTCTGTATTTTCATGCTGTATAGGTATGTGAAGTGTTGTTGCCTCTGCTCTGTGCATCTCTGTGAATTTTAAGTATAGAGGCAAATAAGGACTAAGAAAAAGGTGTTAGTTTTCATGATATCTCCAAGATGAGGTTTTTTTTAAATACTGCCTTTTAAAATATTCCCAAGTGTTCATATGCTTGCTGTGTCAACTCTTGGCAATATAACATGTCTTTTAATGCCTTTCCTAAAATAATGTCATGGTCTTTTGCTCAGAGTGAAGTGTACTGCTCTAGTTTCTCCTTAGCTCTTCCATATCCTTGTAATCTGGAGAAAATAGTCAGCCTTTTTCCTCCTATATCCCAGTCTAAATGTGGACATTAGCAACAACTGTTAATTTGTATTTGGGTTCAAAGTCAAAATTCAGAAAGAAAAATTGCTTTTCTGCCTTTCTTCCTGCTCTTCACTACCTGCCCTAATGAAAGCACAGAGAAGTCTTGTTAGCAGGACTTGCAAATGATCCTTCTAATAGGAAACATATGCTAACAAATAAAAAACAAACTTCAGTGTTTTTCAAGGCCTTTTGTGTTTACTTTGAGAGTTCTTTGTTTTCCGCTGAACAAGATGCCAAGGTCTACCAACAGCATTTTTTCTATTACACCTGTGGCCAAAGCAGTACTTGCACTTACTTCAACTGATAGCCTCAGCACTTAGTGGAAGCAGCCAAATCCACTTCAGGTCATCTTTATTAGTGAATTTCCAGCTTTAACCTGTACCCAACTGTGTTTCAGTACAGAGCTTCATGAAGTGGAATCAGCAAGCTCTACAGGCCTTTTCTGAATACACCTACTGGGAGGGGATTTCTGCCACACAGTAGGATCGTGCATCTCACGGTTTAGTGAAGGGTGGGGGTAAACCTCTAGAAATATATCACTTTTATTTTTTTTTATTTTTCACCTGTGCATGAGTAGGCTTTTATACCTGTTATGAATGTGGTACATTTGTTTTAGCTAATAAAGCTGGTAGATACCTGGAGTTAACATATGGGTTCCCTAAGCAATGTTGTGCTTCATGTCCTCATCGCAATACCCTGGTCACTGTTCATGTCATCAGCTGAGGGTGTGTTGGACTCCCTCCCTTTGTGGATCGTGCTGTTCCTTGGCCTGGCTGAGCTGTCTTTCAAGTCTCTGGGACAAGGTTTTCCTCTGAGATTTTTATGCTTCTGCTCCCCCAGTGGTTTTTTTCCCAAGTTATTCGTACCATCTCAGTAGTTTCAGTTCTGTCCTATCCCTTTTTTTAGTTATTATTTTATATATTAAGCTTGCATGGCTTTGGTTTATGTACTAGCAGAGACAAGGTTGGACATGTTTCTCCCAAAACAGCACCCTGGGGCACAGGTACCTAACGTCACAGGCACAGTGAGTTAGAGGAGGAAATGCATGTGATAAACAGCTCTATAGTAGCAAGTCCCACACAAAAAATAATGTAAAAGGTAGCCTGACTTTTAATGCAGTTTCACATTTATTGATGACTATATTTGCTTCTCCTTTCTGATCCAATAGAATAGTGAAACTGGGACACCTCAGTGCAGTCAACATGATTGAAACATTAAGAACATTCTAAACTAGGGCTGAAATTGCAACTGTAGAAAAACAATTTTGCCACACTTAATTTTACTTACATACTTGAAACTTTGCATTATAAAATAAAGAGGTACAATGACCATTTAAAATGCTGTATTGTAACATTGACTTCTGATTCACCTAATTATCTTTCTGCTCTATTCTTAGGAGATCCTCAAGAATGAAAATTACAGAGAAGAAATGAAAAGGAAAGTCAAAGATGTATCTGAAAAGGATAAGCTCCTTCAGGCCAAGGAATACAAAGAGGGACTTGTTGCTGAACCAGGTCATACTCGTGTTAAAGGCCACGCATCAGCTCCGTACTATGGGAAGAAGGAGCCTTCACAAGACCCAACCAGCACTGCCAGCACCTTCCAGCCAGGCTCCTGGATGCCACCAGGCAGTGGTAGTAGCCACAACAAGTGAACAACTGTGATGTACAGATTCTGCAGATGGATAAATATTTTAACAGACAATGTAAAAAGCTGATATGTATTCCCAAGTGTGCAATAAAGTAGAATCAAAGCAGTTTCACTGTTCACAGAACTGCTCAAATAGGCTTAGTCATGACAAACTGCCATGAAATGTTTGGCTTTGGTGAAAACCAGGATCTGTTACTAATTTTGTTTTCGACTGTTGCTTTTCATCAGTTTCATCATACTGTTGAAATCATAGGTAGAAGACTTTCTAGCTAACTTAATTTACTTAAATAATTCTAAATTGTTTAATCTTTGAAGACTCAATTTATTTTCAAAATTATTTGATGTAATGAATTATAATTACTCAATAGGCTTACATTTTCCCAAGCCTGGGCACCCGAAGATAGTTCTTCAGAATGCTCGTTAATTCCTTTGGCAGTGCCAGCATGCTTGCTGCTTTCCTCTAGCAAGTGGATGGAAATGTTGATTTTGTTAACAGGAATCACTGTGATATTACACTGATTACACAGTCTTAATCTTAGAGATGTTCTTGTAACTTAAGATTTAAGAGAACAATCAACATATTTTAATAATGTTTGATTTGCAGGCAGCAGTTAGCACAGGATAAAATCACACTGGATCAACTGCATGTAACTGCTTATAATAGAGGTTAGAACTACTTGGTAAAGCTGCTGGAAAATAACAGAGTTTGGGGCAAGGGACTGTCATTAAGAAAATTAGTAATGTAGCTTTTATTTCTGTTGTATGCAGGGACTTCCAAAAATTTCTAGATCTGTTTGGCCACAGTTTAGATACAGAGAATGTTAGATTATTTGCTGAGAGATAATGCTTGAGAACTTCAAGTCAAAAGAGAAAGCACACAATTTTTTGGAAAAAAAGTATCAAATTTATTTATGCAGTCCATCCTTCATCTGTTCTCCCCCATGTGTTTTAACCTACATAACTATCAAAGCTGGAACACATACACATTTGACAACACTTGATACAAAATGTAGAGACTTAATCCTATGTATTTATAAATTGCTGAAATGTCATATTCTAATACGACTTGCTTTGACCAACAAAACTGAAAGGGGATCAACAATACTTAAGGTTTACTTTAAGTCATCTCACTGTTTCTCCCTATTTCAAATCCTCCTTGGTGTCAGCCAGCTCTACTTACTTTAACAATAGGATTAAGATTTTTAAAAATAAGGAAGGACTAGTTGCTAGAAAGCACAACTTGGTGCTGCTGCTTAGAACTATGTCAAGTCCAAAAACTTAATGACTGCTACAAGCTCTTTAGAACTAGACTATTAGTAAGGATTAGGTTTTGAAAAATGAATCACTTCTGTTAGAAAAAAAATGAATTTGAATAAAGATTAAATAATTTTGGCATATTTACACCACAGACCCCACAATGACTATTTCCAGCATCTAGCATTTTGCAGCCTGGAGGGCAGCAGATTTTCAAGGGCCATGGGAACAAATATTCCACTTAAACTCAGAAGGTCCTAAATCAAGGTAACCAGAAATGTTAGCAAGTAGGAAGAACTACTGTCACCAGCATGCACATCCTCCTGCTCTGCCCTCCCACAGCGACCTGCTGTAGGTCACTAGGACTCAGAACACTGGGGCACCTGGCTGGGCCTTTGATCCCACCCATTTATGGCTATTCTCTGGGCTGGTCTCTGAAGGCAGAAACCAGCTGGTTACAGGTGGAGTGTTCAAGTGATCGTTAGGGAAAAACGACATAGTAGTGTATTTTGCAGAATGGCTTAAGACAAATCAGAGTACTAAGAACAAGCAAGCAGTTCCTAGAGTTTGGACTGAATTCAGAGGCTGGTGGTTCAGGCAACAAGATAAGCTAGGGTAGGTTCTTTTTGCAGACACGCCCCACCATCAGAGCCACTACAGCAGGAAGGTGAAGGAACTGCAGGGCCACATGCAGTGTCCTTAAAGGAAAAGCTAGCTTAGCTCTGCAGCTTTGCTGAAGGTATACCAAAGACCGCCCTTCTGTAATCCAGTTCACCGTTGACATTTTCCCCATAATTTGACAGTTTTAAGACACTTGCTAAGTGATACCTCAGGTAAGCAAAAAATTTAATCTACCTCCAGAGCTTCACAACAGATTATTTTCTTTTATAAATTTAACATGCAAATTTGGAAAAGCAACCCGCACCAGAACAAAGTAGTAGATTAAATTACTGTAATGTGTCACTTGGGCAAATTTTAACACAAACCATCTCATCAGAAAAAAAATACACTAAAGGGATTAAATTTCATACTTCAAGAAATAACAGGATCAAGTATCAAAGGACAGTTACAACGCAAAATGTACAAGTATACATTTAAAAAGTGGATTCTCTGCACAACGAAGGCCTGTTTTTCCCCATTTAATCCTTCTTTGTTCGTTTGGCTTTTGCAATATTCTCTTGGCGTTTCTGTTTCTTCTTTTGCTCTCGCTCCCTGGCCTCAATCATTTTTGCCAGCTTCCATGAAAGTGCTGCACTAATTACGAACAGTGGCGTAAGGGCCAAGATCACTGTAGTAAGAAAGCCATATGGGTCCTTTGCAGCCCACTCCACGATGTATTCAGCCCAAGCCTTAATATCGAACATTTTTTCTGGTTTTCTTTTGGGAAAACCCTGTGGAATAATAATCAAATTTAACAAGTAAAACCATGCATACACAGCAATTACCATTTTAATATAAGCCTTCTTTCATTTTTAAAGAGCAAGCTCATGTTTGCTAGAAGTTAGTGCATAATATGTGAAAGCATAATACCATGTTGACCCTACCTGAAACTACAAAGTTTACAGTTAGACATTTCACGCAACAGACCTTCATCTACTACCAAGAAAAAAAGTTCCTACGTGGAAATAGTGAAATCTGTGCATCTTTGGAAGAGAAGGAAAGACAGGTCCGTAGGTTTTACTTTACTAGAGCGGCCAGGTGGTGCTTTAGAGCAGTAGCTGTCAGGTCAACAACATCGCAACCGTGTCGGCTGCGAGCACGGCGGTCGGTGCCCCAGGGGCGCGTAGGTAGAGGGCACCTGACTGCCTC